ATCATCATCATCATCATCATCATCATCATTATTCTAAACTAACCATGAGGAGACGTACGAATCACACAAACACCTTTTCGGTTGTGGCAGTGGTCACCGGCTGGATTGGGCGCCTTGGACGTTTGACTCTGTCCAAAGGGCGCATGATCCGATAAACCGGACACCGGTGTAATAAACTGATGCGTTACCCTATTTCACATGGAACTTTATTAACTTTCTCTCTTCTTACATTGTAGCCTTTGTACTACGGTTGTTAGAAGATTAAAGCCTATATACGGCCAGACTCCTCTTCTGCATTAGTCTGCATCTCTCGAATATAACAACCGGCCCCCAACGGAATGGGGTTTTCACACAGCCCTGCTACCTTGCGAGTCAGGCTTTGGCTAACAGAGGGTTCCAGTTGTGGATTCCTCAAGAAAATTCAGAGGAATCATTCTGATGATTCAATGACAGTACTTTGTGGGTTAGATATTTCAATCTCGAACGATTTTCCATGTTTTTACAGTAAATAGTCCTCGAACATGACAGGTTTGTGCATTCTCCCAGCTTATCAAACATGCCTATCCGGTACTTCTCTGCGGGTCACTCTGATATTTAGACTCCTGACGTCATCTCCCTTGCAATGTCCTTCCGAAATGTACTTCTTCAGAGGTGAATGAGCAATTTGTCCAGTCATCACGCGCTACTTACCGTGATTTCGATCTTCTAGGTACCACGCTGAATAACTGGGGTAATGGCGTACATTGAGGAACATAACAGAAATAACGTGCGTAAGACATGTGACTTACCGATAGACTAAACCCGCACGTGAAGGATAAGGTCGTAGATCTGCCAGGCTGGGAATTGGAGGTAAAAGTGCCTCAGGCGTGGTGGCTAGACGCTCCTTTTCCACTCGAGCAGCCATAATCAAATCTTTTACCCGTTCCTCTCGTTCCCGTAGATACCGTTCGGAGAAGGGAACGTGCCGCAAACAGGCAAATTGTTGGGGCATCAGTGGTGGGATACGGGACACATGACCGTCGTGAACACGATCACGCCACGTGTTCATCACACGTTTTTGCTGTAGGTAAACGTGACATGACGATCGTGTGAGAGAGAGGAGGAAAACGTTGAAAATTATTTGGGTAGGATCACCTTTATCGTCAACCCGGAACACGATTTCCCAGCACACAAAAAAGAGAGTGTAGACTTCCGGGAGTGGAGCGATTAGAAATCACTTCGAAAGATGTGACTGCTCCAAACAGTAGCGCACTACTAGAGCAAGCGAAAGAACTCAAGTCGCGTTCTAAAATTGTTGAACAAGCGCCAGGAGCTCACCCGTAATTCGAAGATATCTCTTGCAAAGACTGATGTTTAGGGGTTATCCAGGATGCTCTACTATTTCACAAGCATTTTATAACTGAAGAGTGATTATGTTGTTGCTTGAGGTGAAACTGATTATGAAGCAGATTGTCAAAGATGTTTGCTGAGTACAAAAAAGCAGACCAAATTCTGACACTCTAGATAACACGAAGACTAATATTTCGTTAATTTTATGATTGTTTATCTTTACCGGAAATTCGTGGATAATCGTTTCTCGATAGCCGAAAATGGTATTGAAATTGTTCAGAAGCATGAAGTGCATAAGGACTACTTATTCGTTGAAGACGTTGAAGTAGTACGAGCAGCACCGCTGTCCGACTCCGTGGTTGCAGCGAAAGCCGGATATTCCGAACGATCCTCTAATATCTGTTGGATACATTAGTGATTGAATAACTGGAGTTTTCTTACGATTTGTAATATGATAAGTGCATAGTTTCAGAGTGAGCAGCTGATGCGTGACTATCAGAGAAAACAGCTCCGATCCGCTGCTTCCACACACGACATTTCAAGTCAGTTTGATGTGTGACAGATACCCCATCATCGCAAAGTGGGAGACTGTTTTAAAGATATCTTTGGTTTGGTGCTTTTATTGCAATCACGCTTCTACTGCTGACTAATACTGAATTACGTGTCACTGATTTTGAGGGCGTTCCAATGAGTAACGATCAACTCCGGTGACCACGTTCGTGTTCGCGCTGGCTAGCAGTAGTAGGGGCGAATCCCAGATTCATGAGATCTGCTGCCCGGTTAAAGGAATTGGCGATCTGAGCTCTAGAGACTTTGGAAAAATACATGAAACCCGAATCGGATAAGCACATTGAGCCGGAGAATAGGAGGTACTGACTTTAGACCGCTGAGCGAAAGTAATAGTGTTCGAAACCGCTCAATCACCAACCACAACGACGAGTGCGAAGGATGAGACCTGATCTGTTGTGAATGATATAAAATGTATTCCTGTATGACAGGACTGAAAAAATGTTGAAAATGTCTTGTTAAAGCCATTTTTATACCAGCATGTGATATCTCCATCCACCTACTCCGTCTCACACACAAACACACGATAACCCGATAAGAATATATTCATGATAGCACTGCACCGCACAGCTCACCTCTTCCTTGGTCAATAAAAATTCCGGTGGTGGATTGTATGATGCAATATGTCCCGGCAACGGTTCCTCTGGTGCGCGCTGATACGGTCGTGGACGTGGTGGGCGGTAGTTGTGTAGAAGCGTGCTCAATGATGGTGCAGTAGTAGTGGTATCTGTTGCTTTTCCGTCTGTCACATCCGACCACATATCCGGGAATACGTAGTTAGGAATAGCGCTAGCCGGAATGCCCAATGTGTCTTCTTCATCGTCCGAATCTAAGGCGCCCAAATTTCCACCGGTCAGATATGCAGCATAACGTCTCACGTTGTCTGGATCCTCGGGATCTTGCAGGGCCCAGGATGGGAGATTCGGTTTCATCCAACCCATCTTGATTGCATGGACCATTCGACCGACCTAGGTTCAATATACAGGAATCACCAAATATGTGAACGGACTGATGGATCAAGGCAGTCCAAATGAATACCGTTGCAACAGACTACTTAATTTTCTCACTCTAAGTGAACTTTCGACCGAAAATTCCCTTCGATTTCGCAAAAAGCACCGCGTTAATTAACAGTCGAAGATAAAACTGAGGTAAGAAGTAAGGCAGCAATCAGGAAAATTTCATCTAATCGACCTGTATAGATGAGAACCGACAAAAGTGCTAGAGTACGAATTCCAGTAATGTCTATAAAAGATGTGAAAATTTTAAACCAATTCGTTATACAAAATTATTGCAAGAATGACATTGTTACTGGTGGCTACTAATCATCTATACATCTACCCGGTAGACTAGATGAATTTTATAACCATAACAAAATATAAATAGTTTTCCTTATCCGGCTGGTGGTTTGCTTCTAACATCAAAATTGGCTTGAGCGTGGAGTGAAAAAAAACGAAACTGATTTTTTTAAAACAAGTAATGCATCCTATTGGGGTTTCAAAAACTCTAACCATTGCGTTACAGTTAGATTCATAGGATCACCTAGGAATTGGAATGACAATCACATATATTTACCTGACCAGCAGTTAGACTCTCTAACATGCTTATTAGAAATAAATACCGGTGTTGCAAAAAAAAATAAAGAATCAATGTTTCTGTCAACTTACCCGACGACGATCCAGAAGTGATGGAATAAAGCTCCGTTTCTGAGGCGGATGAGCTGTCAGGGGCATTTCTAAAACATCTTTTGAGAACCATTCATTCCATGGCTATAAAACATGGACAAGTAATTGGTGGAATAGAGAAAATTCACAGATTTGAAGTTACCTCAAAGGGTTCAGAGCTTTCCATTACCCCTTTTCCGGAAGCGATTTTGATCACAGTCTCCAAATCCCGATCACCAAGTACAACCAACTGATCAGTCAAAGGATCCCTAACCGACCTCCACTCCACGCCTGATTCGCCCAAACCGGCAGATACACCGCTTAGATATTCATCAATTTTATCACTCAAGTCCGCACCGCCTAACTTCGATTTCATAATCGGTCGACCGCTCGTGTCGTACCCGATGTGGCCGAAGTCAGCATACCACTGAACAGGGATATTGCCAACTGTGTTTCGGATATCCTGCGATGGCGAAGATGATTGTAGGTTGTAAGAGAGGATCTGAACTTACCTCTTCGTCGGACGAATCGAAGTCATATTCATCTACCGTGCCGGTGGTACCCATCGCTAACGGAGGCTGACAGGTTTCGGTTTCCAGATATAGAATATACAGAGGAAAACAGACGAAACCAAGATGCTATACAGAGGACGAAGAAATTAGATTTAATCAGCTTTTTCGACCGGGCGCAGAATTGATTTGGTACTCTGAAACAAACAAAACGCGGTAAAATGACCGTCCAAAAGGAATTCAACACAGAACATTTGGAAAAAGGTAACTTCGAAAAGTTACAACTTGAAGTACAATTTCATACTAAGCGGTTGTACAGGGAAAAATAACAAATAAGGATTAATGGCCACGCCATAAAAGCGCAAGTACGCAGGATTCGCATATCTTTGTTTAAGAAATGCTTGATAAGCGAAAAATGGAGTGGATTTTTATTTTTATTAGACGATTTACATCTACTTGAAAACAAAGTGACTTGCTAAATGTCTCTAATCAACAATGACCAATAACGTTGATCAAAAAGACTGGTTCGTCTCGGATTTCAATCAGAGATCTCAACACAGGTTGCAGACTCAAGTGCTTTATATCGGCCTAAACTGTGGAAATCCGGGTCTGACCACCTCGGTCAGGACTTCGTTCCGACTCCCACTATCGTTTCATGAAAGCTAGGAACAGATGCTCGACGACCATTCAAAGAACCAAAGAACGCTTCGTTCGCCGTAAAGCCGAAAACTTGGTCTCGTCCGCCACCGGTAGCCGAACATTTTGGTCCCTTGCCAAAGCAATTTCCCGTAACTTCTGCCCTTCCACCTTCCTCCTTATCTGTAAGACCTCTGGTGTTTTTGTATGTCAACCACACAAGAAAGCTGTTTTTGCTTCTCAGTTTGCCACCGCTTCCACCTTACCCAATTATCCTACATATCCACTTTATTTTTTCTTTACTGGCAACCCTTTTCTACCTCATATTAGCACCAGAAAAATCCGTCAAACTTTGTGCTCTGTAAAAGCAAACAAACCACCTGGCCCAGACGGTATTCTACCCATTGTCCTCAAAATGCGTGCTCCCGAGCTGGTTCCTATCTTACATCGTCTTCTCAACCTTTCCCTCCAACTTTCTTCTTTCACAACCCCTTGGAAGCACGCCGTGATTTTTCCCATTCCCAAACGCGGCGATCTTACTGTCTCAACAACTACCGACCCATTTTCCTCAAGTGTTTTTTCGAAAGTATTTGAAACTATCATCTCTGGGCAACCACGCACGTTCCTCGAACGTGAAGGACTACTGAGCGACCGCCAGTATGGCGTTCGACCGCGTCGTTCCACAGGTGACTTGCGGGCTCTTGTATCACAATTCTGATCAGCTGCACTCGATAACCCCGGTGAAACACACTTGGTATCGCTGGACATCCCAAAAGCCTTCGTTGCTGTTTAACTCTGTCTTCTGTACTCCACCCTCTCCGTTTACCCCTTCTTCCAACCCGTTACGTTCCCTCAGACAACTCGTTCGTCACTTGCCCAAGTTTGTCACCAAGTTTACCACAAAATAGACTGAAGATTCTGAAGCCTCGTCAAACACTGAACTAGGGAGCCTTCAGTGTGAGAACTCGGATGCAGATAGGTCAACAAGCGTGTCTGGCGCGTACAGTGAACTCTTTGGGGAGTGATGTCTGCTGCATATCGGAGACTCGAATCCAGGATTCTAGCACTATAAGCCACTTAAGTGCACCGGGGTTGTCTTCCAGGCCATTGATCCGCATGTCAGGTGCTGACGAAGCCCGTTCAGTAGACCAGAGTGGCGTGAGCATTGTACTCAATAATGCAGCCGAAGTCGCACTACTCGATTGGATCCCCGTCAACAGTCGCTTATGTGCGATGCGGCTCCAAGGGTCCATCAGCGGCCGGAACGGAAGCAAGGCCAAAAGGTGCTTGTTCATCATTTCAGCGTATGGACTGAACAACTGCAGTTCTGATGCACAAACGGACGAGCTTTATGATGACTTACCGAACTCATTCCGTTGTTCCCGCAGATGAGTTCAACGCTGAAGTTGGAAAACCAAGAGCATCGGAAGCTTGCGGTCATTGTGCTCTGCCCTGTCAGCGAACAGATAATGGTGATCGACTTCTACGGTTATGCGCAGATGACCATATCTTCCGACACAGCTCTCAATGGATAGCAACGTGGAGCTTAAATTCAACTGACACGCTAACTCAGATCGACCACATAGCAGTAGGCTACCGTTGGTGAGGCTCAGTACAAAACTGCAGGTCTTGTTGGACCACCTGCGTTGAATCGGATCATGCGTTAGTTTTGATGCAGTTCACTCTTCGGTTGAATGGTCAACGGCAAAACCAGCAAACTCAGATAGCTCATCATCGACTATCTGAGTCAGAACTAGTGCGTGAGCTAAGCGCGCCTCAACGTGATGTAAATGAGCAGTGGGATCAGATTAGGCGAGCAATGCATTACGCTGCGAATGTTGCTTGTGGGACTGAGCCTCAAGCCCGACGGAGGCGTGGTATATCTGATGAGTCTGCAGCACTAATGGATCAAAAACGACAGATCCCGACCTGCCAGGATCAAAACAAAGTTAGGTGGCGTCTGCAACGTCGGCTGACGAAGAGCCTCAAGAAGGACCGTGAAAACTGGTGGGTAATAATAGCTAGTAAAATGGAAGTAGCAGCCGCATCAGGGAATAGTCAAAGACTGTTCCGATTGATACGCAATATGGGAGGTCGGCGAACCCCAGTTAGTGAAACAGTCAGCGATAAGAGTAGACAAGCTATTCACAATAGAGATCAACGACTTGATCGCTGGGCAGAATACTTCAGTGAACAGTTCAGCTGGCCTAGTGCTAACCAGACTGCTTCATCTACAACTGAAGCTCCGTGGGCAGTCATGCGATTCTCCAACGGAAGCCGAAGTTCCGTTCTGCATTCAAGCTCTGAAGCGAGGGAAAGCAGCAAGACCGGATGAGCTTCCTCCCACTCTTTCCAAGATCGGTGGTGATAACCTCGTAAGCTTAACTACTACCGTACTGTGCAAGATCTGGGCACAAGAACGCATTCCTTCATCTTGGGAAGATCACTGGTCGTTCCCGTTTTCAAGAAAGGATTTCGTAACGATTGCGAAAACCACCATGGGATCAGTTTGGTCCCTATCCTCACCAAAGTGCTAGCCTCCGTCATACTTCGGGGACTAACTCCTTTAAGAGAGAGATCAACATCCATGAACAGCAAACCGGATTCCGGTCTGGCCGTGGATGTATTGATCAAATTTTTACGTTGCGGCAGGTCCTTGAGCTGCGTTACACCCACCGTCGACCAACGATCGCAGTGTTTCTTGACTTCAAAGGAGCATTCGACTCAGTTGATCGCGAAGCTCTGATGGGTTCCCTTCTTCGAAAAGGAATGCCACAGAAGTACATGAACTTACTGAGGTCACTGTACTCACAGGCCTCTGGTCGAGGGAGGGTTTACGAACTAAGTAGGCCTTTCAGCAACGGCATTCGTCCAGGGTGTCTTCTTTCGCCGTTTCTGTTCAACTTCGTCATAGACGACATACTGGAGGACGCACTTAGTGGTCTTCAAAGCGTAGGTATTGAATGGGCATTTGGAGAAAAACTGTGCTACTTGGAGTACGCTGATGACATCGTCTGTCTGTTTGAGTGTTCGGAAGACGCGCAAAACGAACTTGATAGACTAACAAGTGCGGCTGCCACATTCGGTATGTGCTTTGCACCTTCAAATTGCAGTGACGCTGCAGAACTGGGTTTCGTTTAGTCCCGCTCTGAAACTAATTGATCAGGAATTAATTGTACTGAATCACTTTTCATACTTGGGTAGTTGCGTGACCATTGACGGAAGCGCAGCAAAGGAGATAGCCGCTCGCATCTCAAACGCCCGAGCAGCATATGCAGGACCTCTGGCGTAGACGCGACGTTTCACTGAAGTTGAAACATCGTGTATATTGTGCTAGCGTTCATTCAGTCCTGCTTTATGGTTGAGACCTTGAATTTGCGAGTAGATAACCACCGGCTAGAGGTCTTCGACTGTCGGTGTCTACGTAGTTTAGCCAACGTGGGATAGAGCGAAAGGGTTAGTAATCTAGGGGCAAACCGTCGTGTTTGGAAGTCTGTCAGGCATAAACCTCCTAGCACATCGAATTCAGATTACTAGGCTTCGCTGGCTAGGCCACGCATTGCGTATGCCCAGCTACCGTCTACCACGTTGCGCCTAATTCGCTGTAGTCCCTCCGGGCTGGAGGAAACCACGTGAAGGCCAACAGATGACGGAAACGAGGCATGAAGAAATGCACAGAGCCATTAGGCAGAGCAGGTGTCATGTTCCTTTCAGGTTGGGGTACGAAAGACACCACAGCTGGTTGGTTGGAGACATTGAAGAATACGGCAGCGAACCGACAGTAGTGGCGTTCTTGTTGTCATTTCTTATCAGGCCTGAATGCTCGAAACGACGCGTGCAGAGTTCGATTGTGTTGATCATAGTGACTCTGCTTCTTCCCCCTCCCCAAAGTAGGTCGATTCCTGTCCACCTTAATTTTTACCACTAACCTTATATGCATTGCGTGTTTGGCAGCGATCAGTGCAGTTTGCTTCACTGTATTTCGCTGTACGATGGTGATGATGACTGGACTAGAAGCTCCAACACATCTCCCGGGGGATTGCAAACCACGTTTCATTCAATAGTTCTAAAACCTCTTTCCTTTCAATTTCTTTAAAACACCATTCATTCTCCCCTCATTCATCTTTTTATTCCACCCAACTGCGTTTCACAAAATCTGTTTCTCTTCTTGGATTGCCTATAAGCTCTTCTTTGTGCTGGTCCCCTTTTACAGCTAAGCTTGCTTCTCGTACTGTGCGCAAGGTTGGATTTCTATTTCGCGCCAGACGTTTTTACACCCCAGCTCATCTTCTACTATACAAAGCTCAAATCCGCTCTGCTCTTGAATACTGTAGTCATGTGTGGGATGGGGCTTCATCATCTTTCCTTCCCCTTCTTGATCGTGTTCAACGAAAGACCATCCGGCTAATCGATGCTCCTTC